CTCCACGGCTGGGGCTGTGTGACCTGCCCGGTGCCGTGCTCCGCGGTGGTGGGGCAGGGGGTGGGCAGCGGGGGCTCTCGCAGCCCGGCCACGCGCACGCCTCCCCTGGCAGGACCCAGGCTGAGACCTTGCTGGCTGAAGGCGGGGAGGGATGCCAGCAAACGATGTCCTGATCTTCTCCTTTCCCAGCCTTCCTGACTCGTCTGAGGACCTCGTGCCAGTGTGGGTATACCGCATTGCACTTTTGCTATTTATGCAGCTCGTGTCATTTGTTGTTCGAAGTACCCTGTGGTCTGTGGGAACCGGCAGAGGAGTCCTCCAGAGACATCCCATGAAGGACCTGCATGGTCTTTCACGAGACCTTCTCAGAGGTCTTTGCCCTCTGCCTTCTCAGGTGCCAAAAGTTGCTGGCTCCGATCTGAGGGGTTTGCAAATCAGAGGTCTCCTTGCCTCTACCCTGCTCTTAGGTGCCTCTATGTCCAGGGCAAAGGGTTTTTCCAGCTCTCCTACCTGCTGAGCCACCGCTGGCTGGGACCTGTGCTCCTCAGACCTTGGACTTTTCACTCTCCTTCTTCGAGCTGCTGTATCACAGCTCAGGCTTACACCTGCACTTTGAGGTAGCAGATTTGAAATTAAACCTGGGGGTTTTTTTCTGCCTTTTTCTGGCAATTATTATTTCTAGGATGGTTGTTTATGGTTCAGTTATGGAAGCATATATGCAGGGTTAGTGGACCTCATGTGGAAAATTTCTGGTGGTGCTGGAAAAATGACTGCCTGTGGGGTTAGCACTGATAAATTTTAATCCGAGGGAGACGGGGCGAGAATGAGGGCTCCCTCCAAAACCCAGACCACAAACCAAGTAATTAGACTCTGCAGGTGGTCTGACTGTCCTTTGCTTCCTGCTCTGTGGTAGATTTGTCAGGAAGAGGAGCAGTTACCTGACCTGGTCTTAATCCAGTATATACCTTAAGAAGAACTAAAGCTGTGAGATGAGTGAATTAAGTCTGGACTATATGACCTCATCCCAACTAATTATCCGATTGTTTTGCTTGAACGTCTGTTGTTATCTGTGTGGGTAGGGAAATTCAGCCTCTGAGCGGAGCTGCAGAGTGTGTTTTTGAATGCAAGTAGTATTTTCAGTGGCATGACTCTGCTACTACATATGGATGTTGTACAATCTTGTACAACTGTGCTTCACATGAGAGGGACGTTAGCTAACAGCATAGCTATTGTAAGCTAAGGATTGCTTGCAGGACTAAAGAGCTACTCTGAAAGAGGAAGGGTTTATTTCTGCAAGACAACCTCTATATTTTTGTATGTTCTTTTGATGTTCAAGTAGGTCCATAGTAGTAAGAATTTATCTGCTTTTTCGGCTATGAACTCCATTTTGTAGGTTCACTAAGATATTCACATCAGGGATATGCTAACTCAGGAACCCCCTGCTTGATTTACCTTAACAGTGGAGCCAGAGAAGCCTGAATGTGCTTCTTTCTCCAAGTACGCAGTGTAAGTTGGGAAGTGGTTGGGAATTGTGATTTGAAGCTGCTAATTCTACACACCTTTAGTTTCTGAAAACTTTTTAAAAGTTGTGTTATAGCATGTTCAGTGAAAAAGAAGCTAAGAGGTCATTTAGAGCAGCTTTGGTGACTGGGAGATTGGTGCCTCAGTGAAACTAATTAGGTAGCGTTGGGATGGAAGCTTGAAGAATATTTTCTATGAAATTTTTTGGAGGTAAGAAATGACAAATTAGCACTTCAACTAAAGAAATAAGCAAGTACGGAAAGCATGTGCTGATGCCTTCATTAAACTGGACATTTCTAGTCTAAGAGTGTGAGTGGAGCTTCTGAATACATGAGGGAGCAGTTAAAAAAGGATAACTGTTGAGCAAGGAAACTTTAGTTCTTGGCAACATACTGAGTAAATGACAAAGAATGATTAAAAGTGCTGCCATGTAGAATCAGGCTCATATGTTCTTGAATTTAATTTTTAAATAGCTTGGGTCTGTTCCCATTCAAAAGCCAAACCATTGCAGAAACTGGTGCATGTGAAACTAGTTTCAAATGGTTTTTTAAAGACCAGTTTCCATCTGCAGTGGTTATTTGCTCTGTGTGCTGAACCTCTTACAGGCCAAAAGGTGTCTGTAGAATTGCACAATGCCATTGCAGCTTTGTATTTTTGAGAAATAACTCCCAAAATATTGACTGCATATATACAACTATAAATAACAATTTTGCTGCAGGAAAAAAGAGAGTTCTATTGACAGGCATTGTATTTTGTGCTTTTTTTTTTCCAGGTGGTTCACTGCCCCGTGAAGAATCTTCACTGGTTGTGAATAAAGGGGAGGAATTAAGGCTGAGGTGCAATGAGGATGGACCTGTGACTTGGAATTTCCAGAACTCGGACCCATCAGCAAAAGCAAGGAGTTCCAATGAGAAAGAGTGGTACACCAAAAATGCAACAGTCAGAGACATAGGCAGATACATATGCAAAAGCAACGGGAGTACTGTCACCTCTTTTTATGTTTTTGTTAAAGGTAAATATCAATGAAGGCATTATTTTTGCTTTCCCCCCCAGTTTCCCACACCCAAAATAATAGGACAGTAAATGGTGGAGGAGGGAATGAATTTGAGGTACAGAGGGAGAACACAGTCTGATAGAAGAAATCTTCTTCTCTGTCCATTAGAAAGAAAACTCACTCCCAGCTTTGCTTGCAATGGCCTTTGTCACCAGAGCAAAGTTCTGGATGAGTTTCTCTTTACATCCCTGTTGTTTTGTGGTGAAATATACCTGAGCTCTCTTTCTAGAAGCTAGCCAAGTGACCTGAATCAGTTGTATGAGTCAGTTGTACTGTGAGGAAGCAAGCAGTATGTAGAAATGTCTTTTTAATTCCATGCCATCCATCAGTATGGAGTCATGTAAGGTTTGGCCCCAAGCTCTTGATTTATTGAGGCAGTTAGCTAAAGGATTTGGCTATTTGAGGCTGCACTCTCAAGCTTAAGCCAGCAGGCAGCAATGATTCCTATGCCTCCAGTTCCTGATCTACCTGTGACTGATCAGAAATGTCTCAGATGGGAAAAAAATGCCTCTGCTCTGACACATCTTCACAGTCCTTTATTACCCTTCTTCTTTGTGCAGATTTCTTCTCTTTTGTTGGCTCCTGATCTATGGGTTCATCAGCTGCCCTCAAGTTGACAGTTTACCATGCCTGGCATTCCCTTTTCCTTTCCAAGGAAGACAGTTTGTCGTGGTTTAACCCCAGCCAGCAGCTAAGTACCACGCAGCCGCTCACTCACTCCCCGCCATCCGGTGGAATGAGGGCAAGAATTGAAAAGAAATAAAACTCTTGGGTTGAGATAAGAACAGTTTAATAGATCAGAAGGGAAGAAAATAATAATTATAATAATAACAATAAAAAAATGACAATAATAATAATAATAAAAGGATTGGAATATACAAGTGATGCACAATGCAATTGCTCACCACCCACCGACCAACACCCAGTTAGTTCCCTGAGCAGCGATCCCTCCCAGCCCCGCTCCCCCCAGTTTATATACTAGACATGATGTCACATGGTGTGGAATATCCCTTTGGCCAGTTTGGGTCAGCTGTCCTGACTGTGTCCCCTCCCAGCTTCTTGTGCCCCTCCAGCCTTCTCACTGGCTGGGCATGAGAAGCTGAAAAATCCTTGACTTAGTCTAAACACGACTTAGCAACAACTGAAAACGTCAGTGTTATCAACATTCTTCTCATACTGAACCCAAAACATAACACTATACCAGCTACTAGGAAGACAATTAACTCTATACCAGCTGAAACCAGGACACAGTTATTTTGCTGCTTCTTCACATAGCTCTGGTGGTCTTTCTTCCCTGTTGATGGAAAAAAGTCCTACAACATCCGCTTTCTTGGAGACAGCATTCCTTGTCCAACAGGGGTTGTTTCAAAGAGCCTCCTGTGAACCCTGCCAGTCCTTTGAGAATTACTGCAAGGTTGTTCTCCAAGACAGGGAGATACCAGCACAGCGAAAAGTATTTTCCCAAGGGAAGATATCTTACATAGTGGCCACACAATTTAAAAGAGTGCTCCGCTAACCACTGCTGAGTTGTCCAGATAGCCATGCAGCTACCAGGGATGAGTTTTCTTGACCTTCTGTATTCCTCTGAGACTATGGCTAAAGGAAATCTGGCATGTATTTTACCTGTGTGTGACAAACATTGTTGACTTTATCTACCATGACTGTTTTCCTGAAGGTCATGGTACTTATCCCAGAGAGCAGTGATCACAGAGATGTTTGTGCCTTCCATTAGGTGAGTGACTCCTTCACCTCAGGATAGCAGGGAACACTTCCACTGAGCATGATTACCAAAGCATCAGAGAAGTTGTGTAGCCCTCATGCAACAGATGTTAATTTCTTTGTCTTAATTGTGTGAAAAATGTGCAAGCTTCACTTTGACAAGTTCCTGGCAGTAAAATAAGTATGTTTGTGAGGTGGGCCATCATTTTGCAATAGCCTGTGGCTTAATAACATCTTACATCACATTGAAGATGCTACCATGAGCTCAGCTGCTTGTGGGGTTGCCACAAGCAGCCCACACGCTTTCTGCTTGTAAAGCTGGGAATGAAGAGAGAACAGGACCAAGAACCTTGATCCTGCACAGTCCCAAGTGGCACATAAAATGGTGGCAGCTGTTTATCTCTTACGTCCGTCTGGGTCTACTAAACAAATTTTCTATGCTTCTGTGACCAAGGATGACACAGTGTTGGCAGACTGCAGGCGCTTACCTCTTTCACCTTTCTGCTTTGGCAGAAGGTGCCTGTGTTTTGTCTATAGAAGCAGTTTGTGTCCCTATCCAAGCAAGTTTAGTGAAGATCAAGCTAGTTCAGACATCTGCATAAGAGAGAAAAAAATCTCGATTTTAATCTCATGTCTTTTCTGACACAAGCACACATCTTGTGTTGGAAACCTGAGGTATGCCCAGAAAGCAAGTGCTACCCAAGACGTACCTGGGGTGGAAAGCCGTGACAGGAAGAAGATGACCATGAGCAGCCTTGTTTCTGCCTGGATTCCCTACAGCAAATCCTTTCATGTATTCTCACCCTGAGGTCTCCCTTCCAGAGGGGGATGGAAGATGGGAGGGGAGCACCTCAGCTATTCCGCTTACCCCAGCCAAGGCCTTCCCTGCAGTTTCAGCTGTTAGTGAAACAGGTCTTCGTTCCTTTCTTCTGTTTTCAAAAATGTCTTTTTTTTTTTTCCTGGGGAGCCATACTTTCTGCATAGTGAAGATATCTTGGCTCTGTCCATATTGGAGAAAAAGTGGACTGAGAGGAAACCTATCAATTAAGTCTCTGTCAGCAGGGACATTCAGATGAGCTCTTCCAGTCCATGCTCTTCCAGCTCAGGAGTGACAGCAACTCATAGTGTTTGTCTAAGTATCTCCATGTGCAAAACATCACACTTTGGTTCTGTTCAGGCATGCTTTACTTTTTCATTTGTTAGTAGTCTCCATCCACTAGGTCTAGACTGATGCTTCAAAGCTTTTAGTTTGTGGGGGCTTCTTGGGTGGCAGTATCAAATGAGGTTAAAACTGTACCCTCACTCTAAGCTAGAAACCAGCCAGTAACTACTGTGTTCAGTGATGAGCACCCTTTGACTTAGCATTTCCTAATTGCTTACATAAATGTCCCATGCTTCATTTTCAGCCTAGTACTTCTTGCCTTAAACCAAATGCACATTGTCCATCATCTTAACCAAATTCTCTCAGTTTTTTTTGTTAAATCATGGTTTGCTGATCTCTAATCATTCAAGTTGTACGAAGGCAGTTTGCAAAAAAAGAAAGAAAACTTTTCCCTCTGTTTCTACATTTCTAATTCATGCTACTCTGTAGGGAGGGCAGATGGGAGCTGAAATAAACTTCTATGGAGTGTTTGTCACCACACCATCCTTTATTTTTGTGTTTGCTATTAATGGCCAGGTTCTTAGCATTTCAAGGTCATCACCTATCATGGGCTTCAACTTTTGTTTAAGTACTGTACAATGTTTGTGTGCTGTGGTGGCCGAGATGAAACGCTTTAGAAAAGGTACCTTGTGAAAGATTACGTGATGGTTTTTCAATCAGATATGCTGTTTGTATGCCCAGTTTTTTTCTAAGGAGGCTAAAAATAACCTCTGCTTTCAGGGAGGAGAGAGAGAGAGAAGTTGTTTGGTGCTTCCTCTAGTAGCAATGTGTGTTCATTTAGATTATGTATTTTACAGAAGTGAAAACCATAATTTAGGTGCTTTTCAACTTCCATTTGCTCATAAATTTCTTCAAAATCCTCCTGTGGGCATGAAACCTTACAGCCCTGCCACTAGCTAAAAGCAAATTACTTTTAATGGTCTGTGAAAATCTGTTTACTGTTGTTGGGGGCAGAGGGTGGAGGTTTTGGAGCTAAACAAGGCAAAAAAAAATCCCCATCTCCAAATAAAAATGCAGTAGGATTATTTTTAGTGCACATGATTCTGTAGTGTGTCTGGTATTGAATGCTACTGCACATCTCCTGTTGTGCTGCTCTTTTAGGACAAAATTTAATGTCTCTTGGTAAACATGAATTGGGTAATACTCGGTTTTACTGGCTGAATGTAAAACTTTCTTTGATGTAAGTGCCCAATTGCAGAGTTGGGGTCATCAGAAGTTCCCTGTGCAATGTCAGCTTCTCTGACAGGTCTTTGCATTTCTTCACAGATCCAAACGTGCTCTTCCTTGTTGATTCTCTGATCTATGGAAAAGAAGACAGTGACATCCTGCTGGTGTGCCCACTAACAGATCCAGATGTTTCAAATTTCACACTGAGAAAATGTGATGGAAAACGTCTCCCCAAAAATATGACGTTCATTCCCAATCCCCAGAAAGGCATCACTATAAAGAACGTACAGAGGTCGTTTAAGGGCTGCTACCAGTGCTTGGCCAAGCACAATGGAGTTGAGAAAATATCGGAGCACATTTTCCTGAATGTGAGGCCAGGTAACACAGGATTTTTGCCTTCTTGTAGAGCACCAGATTTTACCCTTCACCTCCCAGGAACTGGTGGGAAGTGCTGTGAAGCCTCACCTTGTGTCCTGACCTTGTCATGGGGAGGCTGGAGGTGGTGGTCTCCTCTGGAGGCTTTTGGAGTCTTCTTCTACTCAAAGCCAGAGGTGCTTGCGCACCAGGGGCTTGCTCTGGAGTGCCTGTGGCCGCTGCAGGCTGTCCAAAGGAAGGTGGTGGACTTAGAAAACTTGTTCTGGGCAAGTTGTGTCAGGGCATAGGTTGATCTCGTGGCACTTGGCTTGTGGCTGTGCTGAGCAGGTTTGGCCATGATCACTTTTATTTTCTGTTCCTGGTGATTTCCAGGTGTTTTTTTCACCATTTCAAGAAATGTGGGTTGTGCAGTTAAACTTTGAGGACAAACCAGCGCCATGAGGTTTGAACAGGTTTGTGCAGGAAAGGTGGAGATTTGGATGCCTTACTTACATGTCTGTTGCCCGCAAGTGACAGCAGGAGAAACTGATTGATGACATTAAAGAAGAGGGATTCGGTGGAGGGGCAGAGCTTGGGGGAGCACAGAGCCCTTGTTTGTCTCCATCATCATGAGTGAGGATGGTCACAACAGCAGCAATGTGCCCAGATCATGATGAGGAGTGTGTTGTGGCTGAGCTGCCAGATGCAATGCTTAGCTCTGCCTGACACCCTACCTTTGACCTTCACGCGCCCTTGTGCCCTAGGGTTGGGTGGTTAAGTGGGTTTGGGAAGGAGGAGAAGCCCGATGGCTGGCCGTGCAGGACCTTACGGGCCGATTCTGTCTGGGCGGTTCGGAGCCTAGAGTTACCGCGTGTGTCGTTCATCCGCTGCACAAATAGCCGGGAGAGAAGCGGAGGGAGCGGCTCAGCAAGCCGGGCTGTCTCAGCGTTTCCCGAGGGGCGAGGAAGTGAGTTTGTTCTCCACGTAGCTGTGGGGCTCTTTGAACGAGGTCACCCCTGGCCGCAGCTGGGAGCGTGTCTCCGCTCCGTCGTGCGCGCAGCGCGAAGGCTGCGGTAGGGTCCGCCGAGGGAGCATCCCCTGTCCGTGCGCACGCGTTGGACCGCGCGCCCGGCCTTTCCGCTGGCTGCCGCGGCGTTTCTGTCCGCGCGGCCGAGGTGTCCCGTGGGGTTTTTGTTGTGGAAGGGAGAGCGGCGGGTAGGGGCTGCGTGGGTTGGCTTTGTGCTTTCGGAGGCAGCCAGCCGCCAGCAGCGCCATCGCGGCGGTGCCGCCGAGGCCGCTGCCGGAGAAGGGGGTGCACGGCTCGGGGCGGCGCGCGTCCGTCCCCCCCGCCGCCTGTTTTGTGCCGGGCGTTAGGAGCCGAGGCCAGGCCGCCGCCGGCAGCCCCCCTCGTGCTGGTGAAGGAGGGCTGCCCCGTGGCGTGAGGAGGGGACGCGTTGGTGTTTGCTCCACGGCTGGGGCTGTGTGACCTGCCCGGTGCCGTGCTCCGCGGTGGTGGGGCAGGGGGTGGGCAGCGGGGGCCATCTCAAGCACTGTAGCAAATTGAAGCAGTCTTTTTCCTGGTGTTTTGGACACTGTGATACAGTGAATTTTAATGAATAATAAATTTCAGTTAATGAGAAGAGAACAAAGGTTTAATCTGGCATTCTCTTTTTATGACAAAAATCAAGTCTCTTCTTGCTGTCTCTCTTGTTTGTTCTGTAACAAGTTTTTTTTTCAACTGTTTTTTCAGTGATGGCCAAAGAAAGAAAGCAGTTGATTGACATAGCTGACATTTCTCTGTCATAGGAGAGTGCAAGTTGTAGTATTGGACTATTTCATTTTTTATGGGATAAAAGTCTGCACTTGCTTGATAGAGTGGTGACTTCAGATGGGAGGGTGCTGACCTGGCATCCGTCACAAGTGGCCCACTTACGGTGGGCAGCCGTAGGTGGCCGATGGGACCTGGGTGCTCTGCCCACGTTCTCCATCTGGGGGGAAGCGTGCAGTAAGTGGAAGCATCTGCTGAAGGCCATCAGCAGCAAAGCAGCATTGTCATCCTCAGTGTTGTAATTACCGTGCTGTAGTGTTTGGTCGTTACTAAGTTCACCAGGTAAAACTCCCACTTTCTCCTTGGCTGAAGGTTTAAGTGCGAGACCCTTTGGTGGGCAATGTTTTTGTAATCATAACTGTGGCACTCAGACCCCCAGGCCTGAGCTTCTAGTGCAGAAGGACAGAAAAGGCATCCATGAAACAGCGAGCTGTGCAGGCGTACTCAGACATACACCAGCCCTGCTACGATAGCACAGGGAGTGTTTATGTCCAGCCCTTCTCAAAACAATGAGGCGCTTTATGGCCTTACGGCTTTTTTTTTTGGTTGTCCGTAGGTCTTTCTGGTGGGTGAGAACACAGCACGCCTTCTGCACTGGCTTCCTCCTGTCTCTTGGGTACTGCTGAATGCCGGGGGGGGATTTTTATGTGAGCCTTTATATCTGAAGAGAGCAAACACGTTTCTTTGTTCTCTTTCATAGCCGCTTACAGCACCATGAGGAAAACATTATTGTTAAAGTATGAATGGCTGAAAAGCATTGCGTTTTCCTAAGTTTCGTATAATTTACCTAAGACAACTACAAAGCCTGTGTCAGAGGCAGGAAGAGAGTCTGGAAGACCTTATCTGATATATGTTGCATTCACAGTTTGAAAGTCAGTCTTCCTGCGTAAAAGCCCTAGTGGGAAGTTCACTGGAGTCTCATAAATGAGGAAAATTTGAAGAAAGGATGAAGAAAACAGAAAAATCTGTGGAGGGAACAGAGGAAGGGCTTTGCAGAGATAAGAGACACATAGTCCTCAGATGTACTTGACCGTTGACAAAAGACACCCTGAAGAAGAACAGGGATACAGCTAGCCCACAGCTGCTTGTAACCAGCTACCTCTTGGGTGACAAACTTGTCCACGGTCTTGACTCCAGCCACCTCTGTGAACCATTACCGTGAGCAGAAGTTGTGGTGCTTTCAGGGGCAGGTGTGCTGAAGTCCTTGAGCTGTACCTGTCCTTCCTAGACTGTCCATCAGGGGCTTTTCAGGGACGTATCAGACAGTACTTCGTGTCTGCTGTAGTATTTTGTAATTAAAAGTTGCAGTTAATGCTAGGCTGCGGTTCTTCAGTGGCTGATCCTCACTGTCTTTTCGGTTCCAGAGTGCAACTTTTTAATTGCTGTCATGGAATGAGTCGTCTCATTGATGGTTCAACATCGTTCAAGTTTCTTCATGCAAGTTGCTATGCTCTAACAAGGGTTATCTAACTTTAAGTGTAATTTGAAGGGAGATTGAAGCAGTAATGTGCTTGTTGTAAAGGAACAACTGTGTAGTATGTTAAAGAAATTTTAATACCTCTCGGAGGCCTGAAATTTTATTGGAAAGTTTATGACTGTTGCTTTTTATCCCCCTTTGGAAGCTCTGCAGCTAATGAAAAGTAACGCACTTCTAAATTGTTTTCCAGTTCACAAAACTCTTCCCGTCATCACCTTATCCAAAAGCTACGAGCTTCTCAAAGAAGGGGAGGAATTTGAAGTTACATGCATAATCACGGATGTGGATAGCAGCGTACAAGCTAGTTGGATTTCTCACAAAAGTGGGGTGAGTTCCTTTAATTGTATCATTGTATGCCTCAGCACAGTACACAAACTCTGTAGACGTTCACGTGCTTGACTTGGATACCTGATGCTATATCAGTTTGGCTTTGTTGCATTTCCAAAGGTCCTGCATCCCAGAGACTGGTGAGGGGCCAGCAACAACTGTCCCATGCCCATGCGGACAGCTGGGAGGAAAAGCATCGGCATGGGCTTCTCTTCCCAAACAGAAATTAAAATTAGGCTTTTCAGTGTGAAGTTTAGGTGACCTCTGTTGGGCTGCCTAAATACGGAAGCACGGAGTGCCTACACATCACATTGCAATCAATGGGAGCTGCAAATATCAACACATGGACTGCAAATTACATATTCTAGTCGTTATCATTAACAGTAAAATACCTGCTAATTAGCATGGGATTGTGTGTGACAGGAATAGTAGTAAGCATTCACAGGAATGATTAATTCATTTAAATTACATGGTGTGCCTTACTAACTGGCAAAGTTCTGAAAGATGAACCAGTGAACTGGCTTCTGTCTGTAGTGATAGATGAAGGTTCTGCCTGGCATCACCAAATTAAATTATTGGCCCGCTAAGTGCTCCAGGAGAGTTTGTTACTGGCAGCACAGTTATTTTGCAGACAAGGGGCAGAGAGATCCCCTCCCCTGGTCAGCCAACATACTGCCAGCTCTGCCTTTGAAATGAGCAGCAGGCACTGGGTTGTTTTTAAGGATGCTTCTTGGTCTTCTGGGTATACCCTGAAATTTAAATTAATTAAAAGCCCTTGGGAAGACCTGTTAGTAACTCCTGCTGTATATGCTCCTATGCTAATTGGTTGGTCTTTCACTGCTAATGGTAGTGACCAGAATACATAATTCGCAGTCCATGTATGTATGGAAAAAAGGCTTCTGTGATGTCGTGGTGTTTGGCTAAATCGCATCTCCTCAGACAGATAGTGAACGGGAGGCCCGTTCCCTGGGGCCAGGCATGCCATGCTTAGCTAATCCGCTGGCTGTGGCAGAGCTGCTCTCGCTAAGTGCTTGCCGCTTCAGAAATCCCACCTCGCAGCTCCGAAGGTTGAGGAGGTCTAAATGACACGAAGGCAGCGTGGGACATGCAGATGGGGCTTTTGGTCCTGTGCCAAGGTCAACGGCAGGTCCTTCATCTGAGAACTTCATTTCTTCTCTCGTTCTCCTCCCTTTTCTTTGTTACAGTGTGATGAAATCAGGGCATTCCCTTAAGTTTTTGTGCTTTATCACTTTTCATTTTATGAGTAAAAGCTACGAGGAAAATATTTTTGACCAAATAAGTTTGACCTTTCTGTCCTTTCTGGTAAATAGCAGGGTATGCTATCTTTTAAATATTGACTATCAAATTAAATTTTGTCCTGAAACAGAATACATAAAATTTGTGTTTAAATAGATGCAGAATTACGTTTTGTCCTGAATAGGTGGGAGGGAAAAAAAACAAACCAGTTTTTCCTTGTGTGACTGAAGTTATCACCGCTTTTGAAAATTAGGAGACTTGTTATAAGCAAGCACATCTATACAGAACAAACTTCTATCTGTGATTATTATAGTTCAGGAGGAAGCAAAATTGCATTGAGAAGGTTAAATTTATCTAGAAGCTCTTGGAACCTCCAAGAATTGAAATCATTGTACTAGAAAATCATTAAAAGTCCAGGTCTGCATTTGGATTAATCAATGTAAATTTATCTGTCTTTCCAACCACACTGAGCATTCTTACAGAAACTGAAGTCAACACCTCAAAGCATTTATTTTTTCTATGCATACGGAGGCTTAGAGTCATGATATACTTAATGCTTTGAAAAAAGAATGAAGTTTCCAGTTGCCTTTAAGATTAATAAATCTAGATTGCTACGGACCAAGAATCAGAGTGGGTACCAGAGGAAGGATGCTGTGTAAAGCCTGCTGCCAGCAGGTCTTTCTGCAGTATAGCTGTAGTCAGGAGATGCTGCGGACTCAGGGCATAGAGCAACCCAATTTAAAATGAAGTTCCGGCACCTTAAAGTCTCTCTTGTTGTTCAATGGGAAGCATTGCAGCCATTAGAGACTTCGGTGATTTTTAGGCACCACTTGAGTGGTGAACCACACATCAGAGTTGCAATAACTTTTTACAATAGCTGCAGCTTCTGAGCATTAGGAAAGTCAAGACCCAGTGGTCACTTTGCATCAAGCCCTACAGCTAGAAGGGTCGTTAGTGCAAATAAAACCTTCTGTTGGTTCCTCACCTTCATCAGCATTAGAAATGTAGCCCGAGTGAGCTGGGTATGACCTTGGGCACAATACTCTTTTCTTCATATGGTTGAAACATTTGAAGAAATTAGAGTTTGAGCTTTGTGGCTTGGGGTGGTCTCCCCAGTTGGCACTCTCGGGGGAGGTGAACACACACATACGCACACACGCATGCGCACACACACACTTCAGTGGAGCTTGAGGAGGACAAAAATAAAGAATAAGGGGAGGGTATGGGACTTAGGAGAGGACCTTATCTCCCAAAGACAGCTGATCATACACTTGTTTTGCATGGAGAGATTCTAGTGACAGGTTTGTCGTGCTGGCTTATTATTCCGGTTTAAAGTTATGAATATTAATATAGCAAAGTTATAATTACTTCTATTTTTAATTTATCTAGGAAAGATGCTGCATACACAGTGTTTTAGATGTTAATTGTTTTTTACCGACAGATTGTTACAAGCAAAAGCAGAAATTTGGGTGATTATGGATACGAAAGGAAATTAACATTGAACATCCGTTCAGTGGGAGTTAATGATTCTGGAGAATTCACATGCCAAGCAGAAAACCCTTTTGGAAAAACCAATGCCACAGTAACCTTGAAAGCACTAGGTAAATAGTTCCTGTAGAAATCTTAACATCTCTAAGAGTGGGAGGTGGAAAGTGAGAACACTGGGGAGCCTTCTCTTTCATCTCTTTCCTTTCCCCCAAACTTCAATAAGCAAAGTTGCTTTATTAAAAGGTTATTGCTGACTGGTACCATATGGGATGGCTCAGGAAGTGTTGTGGTGTGTGTGACTACTTTAATTTCTATAACCCTTTGCATGTTGTTGGAATGTGATATTAGAACAACCACCCAACCGTGTTTCCATCTCTCTGGTTTGTCTCATCCTTCCAGGTTTAATTTTAAATTTAATCCAGTCTTAACAAAGCAATTAATTTACCTTTGCTTGGTACTATCCCTATGCTTAAGTAATTTGGCAGCAGAAGCACAAAGCGTACCTTTAATACCTGCCTTCCAAGCATGGGAAATTTTGCTGACATCGGCATGTCAATGTTTTTTACATAGAAGCTATACATGTACCTCTATTTAAAATAATGTGGTGAGGAACATTGCAGAGTGCATAGACAGCATGAAATTGTTCCGGGGCTCACCCCCGTGGTAAACCCACTATCCATCACTTCCACAGGTTTTGGATTGTGTCCCTTAACAGTGAGCAAACTGTCTCCCTCCTCTTGTTTAATAACAGACTCGTTTAGAGTCTACTGTATATTAACTTGGGTGACAGACAGTGCCTTTTGAATTTTAAAGCTGCTGAAACCTGCTAATTCAATAAATTAAGGACAATTAAGGACATGTTGGTATAGTTAATAAGATAATTCTGAAGAAGTCTGCGTAGTTGGCTTCAACTGTTTCAGTTCCTTACCATTCAAGGGTGTAGTAACTGAGGGAAGTGTAGCCTTGGATCCTTTTTCCTTTTCAAGTCTGTTTTTCTGTTGCACAGATACTCCTGCAACATTCCTTGTTTTGCTTTCTTTGGTAACTTAAAGAAAACAGAAGTGTTTGACCTGTGTGGGTCAGATCTTCAGCAGAGTGGCAGAGGTTTGAATGCCCTTAACCTTGCTCTGCCATTTGAGGGGGTAGGGTTCATAAGGACAGGGATGTTTTCCTCTTTTTTTTTTACAGGAGAGACTAAATTCATATGTAAAAGAGTGAAACAGTGTGAAGTATGAAAGAAAATCTTTTCCCCAAGACGAGCAATATGAAAGCTTTTATTGTAAGAGGAGGGAAGTTCTTAACTACAGAAATTCTTAGGACTACTATGTATGCAAATGTGGCTTTAAAAAGAATTGACTTTGGAAGGTCTGGGGGCTAAAATAGAGCATGACATTATAAAAAGTAGATAATAAAGTAACAAGTTTGTATTTAGTAAAATGCAAAGTTTGTATTTAATAAAAAATGCCAGAGAAAAGCTGGAATCTTTCCTTTTCGAGATACTCCCCCTACCCCACCCCCCGCCCAAATTTGACTTAAAATAAACTCTGGCTTCTGGATGCCTTTCACCATTCATTGTCAAACTGACTACATTTACCTGAATTGTGCCAGCTCCCAGGGTCCTGGGAAGTGATGTGTGGTGCGTACTGGAGAGATCCTGGGATTGTATCAGATACTAAATAGCTGTGGTTTTAACGTTAGCCAAAAAGGTTACAATAAATAATGGGTATTTTTGGAAATTTTCCCAATTACTTTTTTTAACAGTTAATTTATCTAAATGTAAACAGTTTCTAAAACTGCATATGGGGGACTGATAGTGCAATCATAAAATTTTATTTGCAGGCTCTTTGGTCCGATTTTGAATCTAAGTTGCATAGGGGATCCTGTATTTATGCAGAAAATAGAAAAAAGCTCTGCGAAGGAGCTAAAAATCTTTAGTTTCCAGATTTAAAACCTTTTTCTCTTTTCTAGCGATGGAGAGCATTTTAGAGCATACCTGTCTGCTGCGAGTTTACTTCATCCTTTCTTCTCCAAAGCATCTGTCAAGTGCTCTGGCAGCTCCATATGCTTTCACCAAGCCCCGCTGGCTCTGGTTTTCCAGAGCTCAGGTGCCCAGCTGGCCACAGCAGTTTGATTACTAGAAAGTGAGAAGAAGCAGGGATCAGAGATTGACTTTTGGTCTAAATTCAAGCTCTCTCAGTAAATGTGTTTCCTTGTAATTGCAATCTGCCTGTCAAACTGATAATTCCCGTATGAATTTGTGTAATAGGACTGAAAAATTTGCCTTTTCAAAGTGAATAATCCTGAAGCTGATGAGTTTATTAATGAAATTGAAATCACTGCGGTAAGGATGCTGCTCCACATGATATTTTGGAGCGGAACTGCACAATGATAAATGGTATCTGCCAAATAAAAGATTAAGACCCAGCAGTGGATGCACAGAAATGCCTTAGTTTAAGACAATTGGTATCCAGGCCTGTGGACTTAGCACATTTTTCTCTAATTACAGTTTTCAGTAGCTTCATTTGTAATGTTGTTCTTAATTACACTTGACAAAGAAACCTTAAATACTCTAGTATATTGTCATAAATTATCAATTGATCTTGCTTTTTTCTTAGTGTTTCTTTTATACCAGACAGTTAGCAACTCTGATTTTTGGAAAAAATATAAATCCTTGAGTAGAATCAAAGACGTGCTTGCATTTTTCCAAAAGCAAATAGGGTGTATTTATCACCAGAAGACAGAATTATTTCTGTTAAGGCACTCAGGGGTCCTTTAAGTCCTGTGCCTCATTGCTATATATAGCTAGTGGCCTTGGTTTTGGCAGGTGAGGGTTCAAGTTCTGCTTTGTAGATGAGGTTTCCTGTTTCACAGTTGGATGTTTGATCACTGATCTTGAAGTAGTCTTAAGTGTGGTTAGAGCCCTGACAATCTTCTAAATGGCCCTGAAATTGTTTTTCTTCTCCTCTTATGGCCGTCAGCTAAAGGATTTGTCCGTTTGTTTGCATCAATGAATACCACAATAGATATAAATGCAGGACAAAATGGAAATTTAACAGTTGAATATGAGGCATATCCAAAACCGAAGGAAGAAGTCTGGACGTACATGAACGAAACATTACAGAATTCATCAGACCATTATGTCAAGTTCAAGACTGTGGGCAATAACAGGTAATAAGAGTGACTGTAAGTGCTATCAATTTCACTTTGGAACAGCAAACTAGAGTCTGCTGTGGAAAGAGGAAAGTGGAGATGGTGAGAAAATTGTGATTATAAAAGATCTTGTAGTATGCGTGGCTTACCACAGTAACCGGTGCAAAAGTCTGCTAACCTAGATTTGGAGTAGTGTTGAGCTAACCACACCATCTGAGAACCAGTGTGCCACATACTCACGACTCACCTACAAGATGCCATTCCTGCCCAATAAGCAAAAATAAGAATTTAAAGTTCTCTGTGTGCAGAGACTCCCTCTACCACCACAGCAGAGCCCAATGCTCTGGACAAAAGCTTATGCTTTTTCTTCTGCTGTGCACTGTTCTTTCCTGAGCCCTGGTCTTCCAAAAATCCAGTGAAGCACCTAGCATGTGTGGCCTGGGTTGTGTATCTGGGTTCCTTCCTCAGCGAGAAAAGGAGCAGGGGTCTGAGCCTGGTGCTGAGCTGTCACCCGGGCACACATTCTAACACCCTGGTGTTAGAAGTGGCAAAACTTTTGGATGCTGTAGTCCAAGGGCAGTCGTAATGCAAGATAAGAGTGTCTGCATGGACAGCGTCTGCAGAAGACAACAGCACGCTAATAATTCACTCCTTAGCTTACACGCATCAATTGCCTGTTCACTGCAAGTTGTGAGGATCAGTAATGCTTAATTTTTTTCTTTACAGTTATACAAGTGAACTTCACCTTACCCGATTAAAAGGAACAGAAGGAGGCATTTACACATTTTTTGTGTCCAATTCTGATGCCAGCTCCTCTGTAACATTTAATGTCTATGTGAAAAGTAAGTAAAGTGAACAGTCTGAAATATTTCATTATCACAGTCATTGTATTTTATACAACATAATGTATGCACAAGATGTCACAGTGTGGTTCAGCATATGAGAGGCTTTCTGAAGTGAAGCACATGCTGGAAAACTATTTAAATGTCAAGATATAAAAGTGCAGAGTACTTACACAAATCCACCTACTATCCAGCGTGACCTTACATTCTAGCGAATGTATTCCAGAGGTTACCAGAGAGCAGCTAGATAGTTTATACAGGAAAAAAGCTGTAGCACCTGGAAGCACGATCTGAAAAATAAGCATCTACCATAAACCTTTGATAATTTAAGGTGGAGCAGGATATACAGGGATTATAATTTGCATTTTTGGCAGTCAAGTTAAGCTATTAATTGTCTTTAATTTGTTTGAGTTGGATGCAGAGTTTGAAAGCTTGTCAGGAGAATTACTCACTTGTGGCTTTTGGCATCTAAATACTTCTGTATAATAATATAGATCACCATTGTTTTAGAGAAACTGCATAGCTTTACAGACGCATGTGCTGTCATCTTTGGGGCGTGCTTGTTAAAAAAGAGCATCGGTCTCAGTTCCAAACAGTGTTCTTCAAGACAAAAGCTAAACTTTAAAATGAATTCAATGAAACCTTCAGGAAACCCTGTCCTTCTTAGCAGAGCCATCCTGTTAGAGCATTTCATGCTCTCAGCAGACAAATATTGGCAGCTGCTAAAGGCCAAGCTTAAGGAAAATTAAACCAGGAGGGAACTGCAGGCAAACTGGAGAAACTAAGGTGACGTAGACAATGATGCCTTCAAGCCCAGCGGGAGGAACTGTATAGAAAGTGAGTGAATGTGCTGCAAATACAGTTCTGTGTTGCTGCTCTGCTTCTCCAGGCATAGGTTTATGCAGAGGACTGTTGAGACTTCCACAAATGCCCCAAATCCTAGATGTTAATTTCTGAATTCTTCTTATTTATCACTTAACATCAACATTTGTAGTGTCACTATTAGCAATGCCATAGTTCGGGTCTAGAAATATCACTTGGTCTCCTTTCAGCTTCCTTCATCTGTGAATGTTGTCATTTGTATTCTTGTGCCTTTTCCATTTCCTAGCTGTCATTTCTGAGATGAGGGCACTGGCAACCTCAGATGTCCTTTGCCTCCGTGGATGAGTGTGGGTTACAGTCACAAGGGATAATTCTACTATTTTACAGATTAGCGAGGCAAATTGTTGAGCCAGAAGTTTAATTTCTGGGAAGGAATGGAAGAAATTGCAGGCTGCCTGTGGAACTGTCAGTTCACACGAGGCTGGATGGTGTTTTTGACTTGCAGCATCATATGTGTGCTTGGAGCGAGGGGCTGTTCATGGTCCTCCCAGCTCTCCCAAGCTCTGCAGGCTGCTTGGGAGCAGTCTGGGCACAAGAACTAAAAAAAAAAACAACCCACAGTTTTTTCATCATCAGGTGTCAGTTCTTGGTGCAGAGCTCCATGTTGCCGCTTTTGAGGAACATGCTGTTTGATAAAAGCTGAAAATCCCTGTAGATCATGGTTAGGAAATCAGACTAGGAAGAACATGGTGAAGCAGGATGGCCAAGGCAAGAGAGAGCATACAGTTTAGTTTTTCTGAATGGCTTGTCCATACAACCAGCAGTATACAAGTCTTCTTCCCTCTTGCTTCAACTACTGGTCTTGTAAGTAGTAAGATCAGTCTTGGGATGCAATGAGGACATTTAAGCAGTCTCAAGAGCTCACGTTACCATGTGCTATGTCCCTGGGTGGACTGCAGCCATTGCCGAAGCAGATGGATTTGGCACACTTGACTCAAAAAGAGTTTCTTTTGGCATTTAGACTAAGCTCCTGCAAGTATTTTTTTTGTTTGGAAAAGAGGAGGTGAAATAGATTGATCCTTCTAGGGGTTTGGTTTTAGGAAAACTGACCTGTTTTCAGTGGCTTGTAAAATGGTCATCGTTTAGGTATGAAACACAAAGTGCACGACAACGTACCAAATTATTTGACATAGCGGAGTAACTGCCAAAGGTGAGTCGTGTGGGTGGGTCAGATCCTGATCTAATGGTGCATCCTGACCTGGCATTGTTGTCAGCGGGAATTTCACATAAATTGCTGAGATGTAGCTCATGATGTTTACACATCTAGCTTGGGCAAGTAATCAGCAGAAAGTAATCAAACAGGTAAAACAGGATTCATAATCAGGAGAATGTCTTCACATAAACAAAAATCGATGCTGAAGCATTTGCTGAAAGGAGTGAAAAACGCAGTGTAGAAATACTTACCTTGGATTTAAACACATTTAGCAATTGCATATGCTAATCTGAAACAATACTAAATTGCTTTAAAAAAAAAAAGAGAAGTAGTAATTCATAGTAAATGTGACATAAAGTAAGGAAGGAAGGAGCTCTGAAATTAGGAGCCAAAAAGAAAATTACAACTTGACAAGCAGCATGCTAAACTAAGTTACAATTAAGAAATTGTAGAAATCTCCAGAGTGGCAAGGTACAGCATGTCTAGCAATTAGTAGAGGAATCTTCCAACTAGTATCTGATTTTAGTGAAAAATAATATCTGGGCATAATTACAGTCAACAAAATATTATCTATGCAGTTGGGGCTCATGCTGCAAAGAGAAAACTGGTCATGGTATTATAGATCGATCACGTGAAGCCGAGCTCAGCGGTTTTCCTGTCATTGGACTATGCAGTGAACAAATGAGGAGTCACCATGATATCATAAAAAGGTTTGTTCCAGTCCAGAAAATGTAGCTCCAGGAGGAAAGCCCTCTCCCTTTGACTGCGATGACAGACAATACCTATTAAGTGTTACTTTTTAGACATTTACTTTGTTAACGATGAAGAAAAGGAAATCAGTAATAGAAAGCAATTAAATGCATAATGTTATTATACAGAGCATTGAATTAAAATAGGAATGACCTCTTATAAATCATCTTTGATACATTCAGAATCAACATTAATAAAAGCTGAAAAGCAGTTAATAGACTTAGTGAAATTAGAAGTTGAAGACATCTAATGACTGATTATGGAAGGCAATATGCATATATGACGAGCAGTGTAATGAAACATTAAATATTTAAAGGGTTAAAGCCAAAACAGTAAGCAAAGTCTAATCATTAAGAGCCTGTCTGACGCGAGGGGTAATTAGGCAGTGAAAGTCATAAAATCTAGCACAGTAAAATCTCTTTTAAAAAGAAGATGCTCGGTGACAGCTTGGCATCTGTTTGCGCAAGCCAGTCCATCTTTGCTCCAGCATCCCCTGGAGCACCTAGGCTGGTGGGTGAGGAGGATGCTCTGGCTGCCAGAAAGGGGTGCAGGTGCTGAGACACGCGCATGGCCCGAGCCGGCGAACGGCACAGCCCAGGGGGACGGCAGTAGCAGCCACCTCCGTCCCCTTGGGTACGGTCTGCGGGGGACTCTTTGCAGCCACAAGCGAAACGCATCCCGTAGTTTCTCTGAGCCGGAGAGGCTTGGGAGCCCTCCGTGCTGGTGGGGAGATGCTGATCGCGCTAATCGCCACATCAAAGCACTTCGCCAGGCACATCACGGGTAGAGCTGCTCTCAGGTCGGCGTTTCGGAGGCTGCTGACGGCATGCTCACCTTCCCATGGCACCAGGGCCGGACCACTCTGCCCGGGATGCTGGAGGCGTTAACGCTGCGCGGCATCTCGTCTCCCTCTGCTGCTGCAGGATGAGTCCCCGTGGAATCGTGGCCGTGTAGACAGGCTTTTATCGCGCTAGGTCTTTACAGCGGAAAAAGCCTGACTACGTGGGCATTTTTGTTTCCCTCACTCAAAGAAGGAAGATGGTAGATGCAGCCCAACTCTGGCACAATATTTTTTTCAGGGCTTAATGTTCATATCCCTTTTATATTTGATTTTTCATTTCTTTCATTTCTTGAGTTACATTGCGTAGTAACGTTGCCTAAAACGTAGCATATACCTAAACAAGTGCCACATGGGTAGTAGATTAGCTAATTACAATTTCACAATCCAGCCATTTTGATAGGAGTTTCGGAAATGTGAATTATATGTATTCCATGAGACTGACGCTAGGTGAAATGCTGTGCACTGTCAAAAAGTTCCTCACCAAATGAGTAATGCTGAAGATCCGTCTCAACATTTTGCAACAATGTTTGGTTCTTGGTGGTTTGCATAAAACACAACATGCGGATTTAGAAATGAAAGAACATTCAGTTCCTGTAACATGAGTCATGAGGAGATGCTATGTGATTGAGAATATACGTGTGCTTTATTGGCTCTAATTTAATCAGCAAGTAGAATATTCATTAAAAACTAACAGCGTGCAGTCTTTGTACATGGATTTTATCTGAAATAAATCTGTGTTTTCCCACTGTCGTCTATACAGCTTCACTACTTTCTAGAATATTAGTTCATTATTTCTGTAAAGTTGTATTAACTGATAATGGACTCTTAACTTGTACCTGTCAGGTGAGCAGCATCGTTGCAATATAGTCTGTTTTTTCCATTAACTTTTTTTTCTGGGTGATTTTGCAAGGAATCTAAGGTAGTTATGGGGAATAGGGCCTCAAATTCAAGTTTCGCCAAGAAAAAACATCTCACTGTGTTGGTGGTGGTTGGAAAGACATTAGACTAATGACTGTAAAATCTGTCTGATCGCTCAGGTTTCCTGCCATACTTGAAACAGCAGCTCCTGAACCAACTGCAGGACTAGCTCCAGTGCAGGACGTGGCAGCAGGCATTGGCTGTCTAGATTGGTTTCTAAAGTACCACAGCAGTCACGAATTATCATTTGGAAAGCTAATATGTTCAGCCAAATATTAGTTTCCTCTGCGTGCAATGTTTCAAAGAGTCAGTCAGTCAGACACTTCAGTAGCGGTATCTTAGAGGGACGTACGTCCTCTGTGGGGTCGGGGAGGTTTGCGCTGGTTGCCTTGCACTGTAGTTCCTTTTCTGGCTGCAGTGGTAATATTTAATACACAGGGCAGATGTAAGAGAGATGTGGTTTGACAGATTTAGTACGCTTATAACTGTGAAGAAACTGTCACTTTTACAGGCGGGTAAGGTCATGCTGTGCAGGAACAGGAACCGCACTGTTGTTCTAAGCACACACTTCTTGGGGCTGTTTAAGCTCTGGGCTTTGCTGGTTTAGGATCTTTCATCAAACCAAATACTCAGTGGAGGTAAGGTATTCTTCTGAAATCCAGCCCAAGCATTCAGTGTAAGAACTGATATTTTTACAGATGGTCAGTGCTTGCAGGACACCAGTTCAGACCTGGACACCCTTGAACATGTGAAGCTGTGTTCACCTGAATAATTCCACGAACAACGATGCACATGAGTTGCTGGGGTGAAGAGCAAATGGCAATGCAAATTCTGTGTTCCCCTAACGTGTGACTCTTATTTTTGTTTATTGCAGCAAAACCAGAGATTCTCACTCTGGATATACTTAGCAATGGTATTCTCCAGTGTGTAGCAGCTGGATTCCCAGCCCCTACCATATACTGGTATTTTTGCCCAGGAACTGAGCAGAGGTGAGTTAAGTAAACCAGAGTTCCCAAAGGTTATTCTAGATGCAACACACTCAATTTATAATTAAAAATTAAGAACATAAAATGACTCGGTAACAGTTATGTTCAGATGTTGCATCACTGTTTTCATAATTTTTGGCATTGCATTATTTGCAGTGGTTTGAGGGAAGGCAGAGGTATGTTTCATTATTCCCCTTTGCATTCTGTCCTTGCAAGGGAAATAACCAACATTTTCTGCTGTGGAAAAGTAAAAGCCAAACTTTCTCTGTGCTGCAAGCTAGCTAAGGTTTGTATCAGTTTGGCCGCAAATGACACATGTTCTGTATGCAGTTTCACAGAATGACAGTCACAGCATCACTTGTGAATATGGCTGTTATCTTTTGTTTTATTGTGTAATGATATAACTTTTCAAGGCATAAAGTAATTAGATTTCTATTCACATGAAGCATATCACAAGTAAACAAGTCCGGAGTTACTATGAATAAAACCTGATATCTAGTTACCACATTTCTAAAAAGACTGTAGAGTTTCACTGTGAAGTAAGCATTTGTGAAGCAGGTTTTACAGGGTTTTTTTGAGTTCCACCATGGTTGTAGATCTCATACTAGCAAGTCATGGGTCTCCCACCCGCGTAATTTGTTTTATGCCTAAAATAATTGTTATTTCATTAATGTTTTTCAATAGCACTTTTTTTAATCTTAATTGCATGCTCATATAGTAATGACGTGACATATGAAGGAGAGGCAGCATCTTGAGAGAACAGAACTGGCTATTTTCTGGCTGTGTATAAACTTGATGGTGTTGTGTGTACATCATGGATTTTTTTTGCGCTGTAATAAAGCGCTGCTTAGGGGAAGTTTTCAAGAGCAGGTAATAGACCACAACTGCTCAAAGCTGAAGTTGGAGATGCGGGTTGAATGGTACAAAACCCGTAGTGGACTGAGAGGCCCATAGGTATCTCTAGCCAAAGGCAAACGCAAAGACCTCATCGTGTCCAGCTGGGTCAGGCTTGGTGTATGTATTCATTTCACCCACTGCACAGAAGACAATGAGACATCGTGAGCAGGCTAATTTTCGAGGATAAGATCTTCAGCTGAACCCCTTTGTAGAGCGGTGTTATTTAGTTATCTGATGGTCTGGCAGTGACTATCTGCCTCAGCAGCAGAACCTGTCATTCATTCCAGGTAGCAATCCATGGCAGGTAATTGTCAGTATTGTTTCTCCCAGGTGTTTTGATTCACCGACAATATCCCCTATGGATGTCAAAATCAGTTACACAAATTCATCAGTGCCGTCGTTTGAACGAATCCTGGTTGAAAGCACCATTAACGCCAGCATGTTGAGGAGCACTGGCACCGTGTGCTGCGAGGCCTCCAGCAATGGGGACAAGAGCTCTGCTTTCTTCAACTTTGCTATTAAAGGTAATGGCTGGAGTGAATGAGGCCATAAAATGTGGGTGCCGTTCAGTTCTTTCTGTAAGAGGATTTTAAGTGGTTTACCTTTGCCATAAGAAAGTTTACGGTACTGTATAATGTATTGCGCTACATGTTCTGCCTGTCAAAGCATTGCTTCAATTTTTCACTGAATACTGTGGTATGGTCTTTTTACAGCTCCAGATCTGCAGTGCAGCAGGTAGCTAGTTTTATTCTGTCTGTGCAGCACAGGGGCAAACCACCTACAGCATTACACTGGCTTTCCCTCTCTCCCTCCCTTTTCTTTTCCTGCTGTTGTCTTGACTATTTAGGCCATCACTTTTTTTTCTAGGAAAGACTGCTTTTTTTTAATTTTTTTACAATGTCTCAGGAAATATGCGGTCCCGAACTTGCCTAGAGCCTAAGGGCCCTGCTGTTGTAAAAGAAGTAACAACAACATACTGTAAAAGGGCTTACGAGTTTTATAGCAGTATTTGTGGGTTTGTGGGGGGAAAAAAGCACTAGAACATAGATGCCTCGAAATGTGTTTGTAAATCTGTGCCCTTCTTTGAAAATCAAATGTTCTGCTGCTGCTTTTTTCTCTGTTACACCCGGATATAACATATAAACAAATAAGCCAGGTTTGGGGCAGATGGGTTTTACTGGAATGGTATTCCTTTGCTACTCAGCATAACCTCTACTTGTAAAGACTGTGCTGTAGAGATCATACTTGGGGGGAGGGGGGGAGAAAAGAAGTTAGGACTTCAGAAAAAGGCTTCTTTCTTTAACCTAACTTGACTGAGATCATGCAAACCCCTTGCATTAATTGATCTTGGCGTCACGCCTCCAGAATTGATGAAACTGAGACTCCCAAGGCAACAAACTGGATGGTTTCTGTGCCAGCTCTGTCCCCCACAGCTCATTCAGGAAAGCCATTCTGATGTACCTGGAGCACATCTGGGAAAGTCAAAACCCCAAACCGTCTTTCACAAGGAAGAACCAAGGAAAGGTTTTCACCTACGTCTTTTTAAGATAGTTTGCTTGTTCAGTATTTAAGCAGAATTTTCTTTGTTTCTTTCCAGAACAAATCCGTACCCATACCCTTTTCACCCCTTTACTAATTGCGTTTGGAGTCGCTGCAGGACTGTTGTGCATCATAGTCATGATCCTCGTGTACATACATTTGCAGGTAAAATCAGAAGCCCCTTTGCCTGGGTTAGGAAAGCCTGTGAGCTGCCTGTGGAGGCTTCGGTAGTGACAGCCATTCCCTTTCTTTTCCAGAAACCCAAATATGAAGTTCAATGGAAAGTTGTTGAAGAAATAAATGGAAACAACTATGTTTACATAGACCCGACACAACTTCCTTATGATCACAAATGGGAATTTCCTAGAAACCGGTTGAGTTTTGGTTAGTTTAGATTTATTTAACTTCATCTGCAAGGTGAAACCTTCAGGTCTCAGATGAGACTTTGGTCAAACACAGCAGTGTTTTGTCAAAAACATGTTGTGCAATAATGCAAATAGTGATAATTGCTCATACTTACCTTGGGACAAAAAGCAAGCAGGCATATCTACAATAGCTTCCTTGATATCATAAAATAAAATGTTGAACTCTTCAGGAAGAAGTGCTCCAAGTCGTTACAGACTATATTGTTTTGCTTTACTAGGTAAAACCCTTGGTGCTGGAGCTTTTGGAAAAGTTGTTGAAGCCACTGCTTATGGTCTGTTTAAATCTGATGCTGCTATGACAGTAGCAGTAAAGATGTTGAAAAGTAAGTTGCTCTAATATACTGTACAATTTTTTCTTACTTCCTTCTGGTCGGTGTGTTACGTACTGAACATTGTGCTTTGCCTTGCAGCAAGTGCCCATTTAACAGAAAGAGAAGCCTTGATGTCAGAGCTTAAAGTGCTGAGTTACCTTGGAAACCACATTAATATCGTGAATCTGCTTGGAGCTTGCACTATTGGAGGTGGGGTTATCAATAGATTATTGATTATTTCTGTTCCTTTTGTGTTGCCAGAAGGAGGAACCTTGTGAAGAAGTATCCAGTGCTGCTAAAAATAGAAATCTTAAATACATTTCTTGCTTATGCAGGTTGCAGATCATCATGAATATCACCTGTGAATTACTGAAACTAGATTTTAGGCTTATCCTAAAAGCAGTAAGGAGACCCCTGTAGCTGCAGCTAAACAGGAAGGTTGCTGTCGTTCTCTTTCATGTGAGCCATTGTGCACTTTCTTCTTGAGAGATGACAAAAAATGAGTTTTTTCCTCAACCACACTTTCTCACGAATGAGAAAAGATACGTGAACTGGCTCCTTGTTGGTATCCAAGGTGAAGTCAACAGGCCTGTCTTGTATAGTCTTCCAGCCTTCTGTTTAAACTGTAAATGTATCTGGTAAGGCACCACTGAATTTACAAATTCTAAGCAGCAGAAAGTTGAGAAAAAGGATTTTCCAAATAAACTATTGCGCAACCAAAGTGTTTCACATTTAATATTAACTTAATAAGTTTGTGTTCATACATAGTAAAAGCTACAAAACAGCTGAAGCGTCAATGCAGAAAGTTACAGACCTGTATTTTTAATTTATGTGCATTTTAATATGAAAGATGGTGTTGCTTCTTACACAAATATTTGCTCTTTTAAGTTTTTGCTTCATTTTTCAAAGAAAAGGAGCTTGTAAAAATTCATAGTTTTAGACAGAGGCAAAACATTTCTGGCTTTCACATTTAATGATTTAAAAATAGGATGAAACAGTTTTGTTTAAGCAGTCAACAAAGTAGACTTACTGGCCTGAATGCATGACTGTGTCACAGCGGAAAAAATGTGGCATCTGTAAGAAAATCCCACCACAAACACTGCTTTTGCTATTACAAAAGCTATAATTTTTAACTGCAGAAAAATGGAAATAAACTAGTGAGGTTAGGAAACGGTGGTACAGAATAACCTTACAGATGAAATAACACGCAGTGCAATTACATATTCAAGGGCCATAGCTGGAGTCATTCACTCAGAAAACATATATTTGATCTATAAACATCCGTGCTGGAGATGACTTGATTCTCCTTTCCGATTTCATTTTAATATTCTGAAGACCTTGTGCAATGTAGTTTTCTGTCGCAGCAGGCTGTTCTGTTTGAATGATTTTTCCTATTATACTGCAGAATATAACACTCTACATCATTTCCAAAACATTACTGAAGGAGTGTGAAGCTCTACTGTAAACAGAAGTGAATCAAAAGGATTAATGTTTGAAGCTTGAATTACTCTAACGTTTGGAACAAATAACTTCCTTCAGGAAGTGAGCAAAATCAAACAGAAGTGTCTGGCCAGAAACATTATCACGTGAAGAAAGAGAAAAAGACTTATTTGTTTAATTTTTGTACAATGCAATGCTATTGAGGCAGGGAAAATTAATTGGGAGTGACACAGCTTTATCTGGACCATAGTTGCTGATCTGTGAAAGGGAAGATGCTGGGTTACTTTTCTGTAACTTTTCAAGTCTAGACAGTGATAGGCAGTATGATTTTTAATAGCCCAGCCTGTGTGCTTGGCTGAGTGCTGTCTTTATGTAAGGTTTTCTGCTTTAAAAACAATACTCACCTGCTTTCTAAACCTCACATACAACTACAGGTCCCACTCTGGTGATTACAGAATATTGCTGCTATGGTGATCTTTTAAATTTTCTGAGACGGAAACGTGATTCATTTATTTGTCCAAAACATGAAGAACATGCAGAAACAGCAGTTTACGAGAACCTTTTGCATCAGGCAGAGCCTGCGGCGTAAGTATGACCTGCTGAAATTACTTGTGTTTTTAGAAGATCGGGAAGGAGGAGATATCAAAGTTTATTAGGGATAAGCGATCTGGAGAAACCTTTCATGCAGCAGGCTTTGAAAATTCTTTGCTGTGCAAGGAAACAATTTAATTAAAGAGACGATTTGTACAGTGGGTGGTTTATTCTAACACAGCACTATTGCTTGTATACACTCTCTGTTTTACTTCTTTATCAAATTTCCTGTAGTTATTTCATGCAACTCCTTGGCTCCAATCTTTGTACGTATTTGTGTTTATCGTTCCTGTTAAACATTGGCAGTGCTCATTTAGCAGCTTGAATGACAATTCCCCCAGTGTTGGGGTGTTAATACTCTGAGCTCCTCTAAGTTCCTGCCTTCAGAAATGACTTCTTACAAAATCAGTCCAGCACCTTACAATATCACAGGCAAGCTGCCACCGATAGCTCGCTAAATTTTGTGATGACACGACCCATGTCACGATTCTGAGATTGCTCTTGTACTTAGGTTTTTTTAAGTTACTTCATCTGTATATTTTTAACCGCTCTGTTTTAGATACCAGCCCAGAGCTCTTTCCAAGTACGTTTCCAAGCAGATTTCCTGCTCGCTCCTTCCCTTTGCGAAGTGAGGGAGACATAGCTTACCAAAACGTAGGGCCTGTTACAATACCTGCCCATTTTTATTAGTAGTCTGTTTATTGCCCCAGTGGGCCCATTACTTTGTGTTAGCAGACACAAAAGAACTGGGCAGGCCCTTAGGAGGTGGTAAAGTCCTATGTCCCAGCAGGACATAGTACTGGTGAAACTGTTTGTGCCGTGGTAATATACGGATAGCTGGTGACGCCCCAGAGAGGTTGGGACCACTGAGGTGATGAACACAAAGCTATGATTTGCTATTGGAGGTGTGCCCTCTTTTCAGTGAAGGAATCTCACTGTTTGAGCACATTTTGTGAATTGAGGTATTAATGACAGAGTATTTACCAAATTCTCATATTGGTATTTAGTGCAAAGTTGCAGCTGCTAAATGTGTGTCGTGGTTAAACCCCCGCCATCAACTAAGCACCCTGCAGCTGCTCCCTCACTTTCCGCCCACCCAGTGGGATGGGAGAGAGAATCAGGGAAAAAAAACCAACAAAACCTCATGGGTTGAAACAAAGTCAGTTTAATAGGACAGAAAAGAAGAAAATAATAATTATAATAATAGTAATAATAGAATGACAGTAATGATAATAAAAGAATTGGAATATACAAAAAGCACAATGCAATTGCTCGCCACTCGCTGACTGATGCCCAGTTAGTTCCCGAGCAGAGATCCACCCCCCCCACCCCCCCCCGCGCACCC